ACAGACAGACACAGACAGACACAGACAGACACAGACAGACACAGACAGACACAGACAGACACAGACAGACACAGACAGACAGACAAACAGACAGACAGACAGTCAGACAGACACAGACACAGACAGGTACAGTGAGAGTCTGTCGTGTTTGGGAACCAGAATAAAAACACAGTTTGTTCACGGTTTTCTGTCCTCACAGACTCACAGCATCTCACTGATGTCTTTTCTCTCTCTCTCTCCTCTTATCTCCCCCGTCCCTGTCTCACCCACGTAGACGACGACCCCTTGCAGCCGGTGACCTCCGACGAGACCGTGTCCGTAGGTGGCACCGTGACGCTGACCTGTCGAGTGGCTGAAAGTGACAACTCCTCGCTGCAGTGGTCCAACACGGCCCAGCTTCAGTAGAAACGACGGCGTTCTTCAGTAGAAACGACGGCGTTCTTCAGTAGAAACGACGGCGTTCTTCAGTAGAAACGACGGCGTTCTTCAGTAGAAACGACGGCGTTCTTCTGTCGAAACGACGGCGTTCTTCAGTAGAAACGACGGCGTTCTTCTGTCGAAACGACGGCGTTCTTCAGTAGAAACGACGGCGTTCTTCAGTAGAAACGACGGCGTTCTTCAGTAGTTGTTCCAGCGTGGAAACGACGGCGTTTTTTTTTCTCCTCACGTCTTTAACTGGTACCGTTGGAAACTTGGAGTTGAACCACCAGCCTGTGGTCTCCGGCGGTTGCTGGTTTGAACACCGTAACAGCCAGAGCAGCAGTGTGTTGAGAGCAGGCACCAAAACGTCTGGGACGACCACCAGAGGGGGCTGTGGAGGAAGGGGTCGCCTGTCTGATTGGAGTTTGGAGAAGACTCGCTTCAGGCTAGTCCCTTAAGGGTCAAGGGTCACCACAGTGACGCAACCCTAACCTGGGATTTGGGGCCTCGTAGACGTTGTTTCTGACCTGACCAATCGGGAGTGAGTATAGAGTCAAACTCAGTAAATCGTCCTATAGAATCGCATTATATGGTATTGTTGCCCCATGTATGACCAGATTGTGGCCAATACTCCGCCCTAGTGGAGAGACAGATATTTTTGGATTTTGTACTTGGTGTAAAAATCCATCGCGTTGACGTCGTCTTTGTCGTACGGCGTCTGGTTTAACGCTGGTTCCACACCCGTTAACTGACTCTGATTGGTCAAAAATACATTCATTGTAGCACCAACTACCAGCAGGGGGCGCTGGCTGCACGTCGTCAGGTGTGTGTGTGTTTTTAC